GGAAAGTAGTCTGCTGAGAGATGTCGATGTATCTGAGAGTAGAAGTTATTACGTATTTGTAACAAAGATCCTCTTTAATATGAATTATATAATAGCAATAGCGGCCTAATCAAATCAAATCAATCTAAACATGAATCACCCACTTGTTTTATAAGTCTATCGAGTGTGTGTAATTACATGTACATTCACTTACTATGAATAAAATACACCACACCACAACACAAGTATGCCATTACACACATTACTTGGATGCTGTCCACTAGATAATTGCTTTGCATACCATTTGCTCATAACACACCACACCACAACCCAAGTATGCCACCACAGACACTACTTGGATGCTGTCCACTAGATAATTGCTTTGCATACCATTTGCTCATAACACACCACACCACAACCCAAGTATGCCATTACAGACACTACTTGGATGCTGTCCACTAGATAATTGCTTTGCATACCATTTGCTCATTGAGCTTGTGTGCCTCCGCTGTCTCACGCGGATCGTTTGAGTCGAACATGATGACAACATGGAAGTTCCCATCTCCCACTACAAGTGAATAGCAAGCAGAGATACACATCAGATGGTTGAACTGTACGAGATATCTACACATGAAGTCAATCGAGGGGGGCATGTGAAATACACCCTCAAACAGCGTTTTAAGATTAATAGAGTAGCGGAGTGAGTCATGCTCCTCGCCATCATTTCGGCTTAGCGGATACTCAAGACCAAAACTATCCAGCCCTGTTCGGTACCTTTTGTTCTGGGTTTGCTCCAATGAGCGCCATCAGTTTGTCACTGGTTTTGACTCGAAAACCGCAATGCCAGTTGTCTACATACGTACACGTGTACTTGTTGACATGCTGGTTGTAGTCATATATAAACCACAAATGCACTACAAGTCTAACAGACCTGTCCACTTACCATGGCCCACAATCGGACAGAACAGAAAGGAGGCGTCTAGCTCCTTCTTCGTTGCATCGATGCACTCAGCTAGGCGTGAGATGGGCACCGCAACATCCTAGACATCACGCGTGCAGATGTATAAAAACCAGTTCAGAATTCAGATCCCCCCCCCAAAAAGGTAGTGTGGTTTATAGCTGTTGCACATAAGTAAACCAGTTTATGGGCGATAACTATCATGGATGCGACCGTGTGATTGTCTTCCGTATATCAGAAATCTCTCCATGGAAAGTATGACATGTCCCTTGCAACTATTTGCGTGCCTTCTGTTCTCCTAGATAACGTGTCAACAAATCAGAACAATACAAAAAACATTGAAGAAACGAATAGGACAATTATCTGAAGTCCGCAACTGTTGCGCAACCTCTCGAACTGCCCGTGACTTCCACTCACCCATGATGGAGACGCAAACGAACACTCAACCACAGAGAAGACCAGATACAAATGCAAACCACCATCACTGACTCACCCCCAAATAGGGAAACAGGGTGTGGATTCATCTTACGGTTGAACACATCCGCTCGTGCAATCAATGAATACATCGAGTATAGCCAAATCCCGACCGCAGGGGAGTATGTACCGAACTTCCGTACAGTCATTTAACAATTTAAACTTGCGAGCTTGCCAATACTACGCACCATTCATACCGTGGCCATCAGCGACTTCCCGGGTGTATAGCTCTGAGCGGCCCAGAAGCAATGTTTCCTCGCCTGCCAGAGCTTATCCGTTTCCTGTATTCAAGTCAAAGTGTATCTTATGAGCGTATATAACGAGGAACTATAGTACAAAGAATGCAACTGCAGTCGGATACGGCACACATGTAATGTGGTGAACAAGAGATACATAATTAGATCATACCAGTAGTACAGCAAGGGATGCAGGTACACGTACTTTAATTCGATTGTATATATAAGTACACCAGCATTGGTAGTACAGATACTCAAGAATTAAAACTAAGGATACAGCTAGAAGTTGAGTGTGCTTCGTAACCGGATTACATCAACACGTGTTTGTAGGACAAGAAAACTATCACACCACAACTCTGCCAGTTATTTTAGGCACTTCCATATTAGCACAGATACTTCAGGAGCACAACTACGCGTGTAGTAAGGGATGCTTCAAGTTCAAACACAGGTGGGGAATCTACACACTCCCAGATTCAATACACAGTGTACGTAGGATATAACCGAACAGCACAAGATTATCTACCAATAGATTAGTTTTTCACTTTCTGAAGTGACATATAAGTGCGTGTGGTACGTGTATGTGTAAGCCGATGATATCTATACGGGCACATGTATACTTTACATCAATCAGCGGTATATGTACGCTATCAACGACTAATGGGAATGTGGGGAACAGTTAATGCTTTTGGAGAGCACGAGCGGACCAGCGTCAATAAGGATGGATACGATTGCGTACATCAGCCTCGCCTATGAGTGCGATTTTATAGTCGAAAAAACGCAAACTGCCACCTATCCAAGGATGCATACCATGCTGTATGTGGGATTCTGTAAAATGAGATAGCAAAAAAATTATTTTATATATATATATACATACACACACACACACACACATATATATA